TTAGTTCTAAATACAGAGACTTCCGATGGTTTTACTATCTGAATTTTTGTTGTTGCTGCTGCTTATCTAGTTTTATGGGATTTCGACAATGACCTGGTTTGTGAAACAGAACACGACCAACAACTGAACTTCTGAGATGAACTATCTAAAGGCATTAAAACTGGTGTTATTACCCAGAATTGGGTTTTGGGTTTTTTAAAATTTGTTTGTTTGTTTGTTTGTTTGTTTTTACAGAAATAAGCCCTATTTGTAAGGTAAGGCAAACATAATTTGTCATATGAGTCAACTCCTTGTCATGTGAGTCTCCTTCTTCTCTTCTTTAAACCCTGATGCCTATCCAAATCTCGCTCTCAAACATCTATGCCCTCTTTTGCCCTATCTGCATTAGACTCTCCACACATGCACAATTTAAGTTTCTTCCTTTCTCTTAAAAAATAGTGACGAGGAAAAAAAATCACCAAGCTACCAACTAGAACCACTCGATGGAATGGAGCAGTGAAGATGAACAGGATCTGCTTGCACCCTCTATGCCCCACCCAACATCTCCAACACCCCACCTAATGGGCCCAGGTGGGGGCATGTGGAGTGCCGATCTCCCAGTGGCTTCTGGATAAATCAGCGTAGGTCTCCCAGTGTCCGGCATCCACACTCTGAAAGGACGGCACTGTAATGAGAGCCGCGCCTGTGCAATCAGATGGCCCGGGTAGGATCATTTACTGGGTGTATGACCTTGAACAAGCCAATTAGCCACTCTATTCCTGTTTTCTCATCTATAAAATGGAAATCCACCTACCTCCTGGGGTGGGTTGTGAGGATTAGGAAGGTGATTCACTGTGAATGCCCATCACATAGTAAGGGACAAAAAACAAAGTCAGTACATCTCTGCCATGGAACTCCAAACCTCAAGTGCACACACTCCGCGACCCCAACCCTATAACAACCAGACTATAATGATTATACCCCAAAACAACCAGAGAAGAGCCCCAGGAATAAAGACTCTTTAACCTTCTTCATTGATGCAGGCAGGTCAAGAGGGTGGTGCTTACCACAGGGCCACTGATCTAGGGAGTGATCAAGGGGAAGGGTGGCTCAATGATTCTGCAGCATGCCCCAGTTCCTCCACAAGGGGTTAGAAATCCTGCTTTCCAAGTTACAGGATGCCAGGTTTCTTGCCACCATCACAACTGGCAGCCACTGCCTTTGGCAAAGAGGTGAGTGACTAAGTGTGAGCTAGGACTTGGCAAAGGGACACCAAACCAGAAGGCCTCTAGGCAGGAAGCTCCAAAAAGAGCCACCTGCTGAAACAGTTTGTCTCCAGGCTATCTGTGAGGTAGTGTGGCATTGACTGTCACCAGCAAATTCAGATAAGAACTGTGAAGGTGCTAAAGGCCCAATAGAACTTAACAGCTAACTGCATAATTAAAGGGAATTGGGAGGTTGGGGAGGGGGGGATCAGGCTAACCATAGGACCACACACTTAAAAGTCAGATATGACCACACACAATCATTGCAATGCTCTAAGGTCCCATGATGTAAAAAATTTGGCAACAGAAAAAGGTGGCTGAACAATCAATGATCAAAAATTAATTCAAAATCAACCGCAAAATGAACAGTTGTTTCTGGCCATGCCTGCACATGTTCCATTTCCGGGGGGACAAAAATGTATCACAAGTGAAAAAGGTTTAAAAGGTTTGACAAAAAGAGTCCTCCCCACAAATATTTGATATCAAAACACAGAGGGATATAACTATCTTCGGCCAAAACAGATTAATTACATCTGTATGTCATATAATCTTTTCCCCCAAATTTAAAGATCCTTCCCTTTACCAAAGAAACCTCCTAATGTCCATATTTAAGGAACTAATTATATTATTCTATTATTAGTGGGTGAGTGTAAGTAGGAGGTGAGTGTAAGGACAGGTATAGAGATTGTTTGTTTTGGTTTCTGAGACACACCCAGTGATGCTCAGGGATCTCTCCTGGAGATGCTGCTTGGGGGTGCTCAGGAAACTATATGGAGTACCCAGGATTGAACCTGGGTCAGGCCAGGCAAGCACCTACCACCTTTACTATCTCCCCAACCCTGTGTCTATATGTGTTCTGTACTGCCAAGAGGAAACAACTAATCCTGGTTACCCTAGAATCTTTCTAGTGTATGCACAGGAAAGTCCCTTGCCCTAAGAAACCCCTGCATCCTTGGCAACCCAGGATAAAAAGTCTCCCTAACACTGTAAGCAAAACAGATGTGTTAAGAGGAAAACAGAAAGGACCCAGTTATAAATGCAGAAGTGCTAAATGCCAAGTTTGTTTGTTTGTAGCAATAGTTCCCAGTTCCTTTTCATAGTAAGGGGGAATAAAAACTGAAAATCACACTTGCCTCTCCCTTCCTCCTTTCTTTTTTACTCTCCCAATCACAAAGGAGAGGGGTTTTCCTTCTTGCATGACTGAGATGAGATGTCAGTAAGGGCCCAGGGTCTCTTCCATCAACCCAGATGCTCCTCCTGCATTGGCTGCAGTGGGCCAGGCAGGAGCTCTCAGCCACATTGAAAGATAAACATTAGACAGTTCGTGTGATTCAGGTTATCAACAGCAGACGCCTCTCCTCCAGCTCAAAACTCAGAACAACAACAACAACAACAACAAATCAAGATTCAAGTCACAAACTGAGCACGAAAATGATGAGGAAGGAATTCAGTGACTGTGCTACAAAGGACTGAAGAGTTAGACACTCTTGCAAACTGCATAGGCCAGGCAGCTTGGCTCTCTCCCCACCATGACAGTACAAAACTCCTGTGGAAGGGGGTTAAGCCAACAGTTTTTTAAGTTTGTGGTAAGGTTACGAACGGGCTGCTAAGAATTTCGTTTTAAACTGAAAAGGTAAGACTATATAAGGCAAGGAAGACCACACATGCTTCCTGGACCTGAAGCCGCACGGAAACCACTGTTGCTCACTCTGCCCCACCCCACCCCGCCCAGACCACCTCCCCACCAGCCTGCCTCGGACAGACTCTGCTGCGAGACGAACTGGTGGTTTTAAATGCTTGAACTTTAAACTTCTTGAACTCCCTTTTATCCGTCAGATGAACCCAAATGAAGGCCACTGAGTCTTCCTTTCTCCACGGCACTAGCAGGTGGCAGATGGTTGGGGAGCAAGGGAAAGAAGGTTGAGATAATGTGTTCCCATCTTAAAAGAGAAACATCCCCTGTTGTCCTGGTCTGAGAAGTACTGAAGAATAACTTTCTAAGACAAATGATAAACTTTTCGCTAGTGTTGATCTTGATTGAGAAGAGACTACTTACTTCTCACCTCTTCAAGACATCTAATACAAAGATGAAGGCGCAACTTCTGGCAAAAAAAGCATAGAGCCTGGAAGGCAGGAGACAAGAGATAGTTTCGACTCTCAAGGCCCATCACTGTGGTCCCTGAGGAAGATGCTTTGTGTCTCCACACCTATTCCTTCATTTCAGAAATAAGGGCTTGGGCTAAGACCATGCTTAGTATTCCTTTCAATGTCAAAATTCTATCTGAAAGTTCTTATGGAGGCAATAATAATGACTATTAGCAAGTTTCTTTCTACTTTGAAAATTTAGAAATTAACACACAAGTATAATAACACTGTGCTGTTATCAGGGCAAGACCAAGGCAGACATAAACTGGAAGACTTAAAATAAGCAAATGTCTAACAGTTGGTGACGTCTGTGAGCGCGAAAGGGGGAGGGGGCATCCTAATATCAATTTACACACACTTTTAAATGCCCTGGAACCCATGGGAACAGTAGATTCATCACAATTACCAGCTGCTCCTCCTGCTAAGTTTAGTGATAACATGATTTTTAATTATGATCTCTTCCTAACACTCCCACCCCAACCCCCCCCCCAAAAAAGTTAAATACTTAAGGAAAACAAATTTAAAAACTACGTCTCAAAGCAGGAGAGCAATTCACTACAAATCATTGTGATTGCTTGCATTTAAGTCTCAGGATATGCTGCTTGGATACTAATTAGTGACTGCCAGGAACCAGCTGCAAGAGAAGTTTTGAGCAGCTTCATACCAAGGGCTGGCAAGTTTGTCCGCCTGTGTCAAACTGAAGATGGCCTTACCGGGTCCCAAACACAGGTTTATTTTACCAGGAATAAACAGCGGGGGCGGGGGTGGGGGGTGGGGAAGCTGCTTCCTTTTCACCGTGGAAGGAGCTGCAAAGAGAGTTCTGTCCTGCAACTTGGTTGCGCGCCCATGTCGAGGTCCTCGGATCAGCCGAGTGCACAAAGGTGGGGTGTTTTCACTCCCGAGACCTGCAGCAAGGACTGTCAACCGATTGGGGGGATAAAAAAGAAAAAAAAAAACGCTCTCTGCTCACCGGGACTTCGCCACCGCCCCGCGAGGGGGTCTCAGCCGCGAAGGCAACAAAGCTGATGGGGAGCAACCGAGGGTGACCCACGGCGGCGGAGGGGAGCCCCCACGGCGCCGACTGCACCGCCTCCAGGGAGAGACGGAGCCCAGCCCATCTCTCCAAGGATCCCCCGCGCGCACCAGGCACACACACACAGACACACACACAGACACACACACACACACACACACACACACACACACACACACAGAGCAGAGCCTCTCGGCTACGAAGAGGAAGTCAAGATGTCATGTCAAACGGAGAGAGACAGCGCGGGGTCTGGGTCGGTTTCGGGCTAGGCCTGGGGGAAGGGTCCCCGGCAGCGATCCCTGCTCCCCTCCATCCTCCGTCATCCCGCGCCACCCCCTCCCCAACCCCGCCCCCGAGCCCCGACCCCCCGGCCCGGCCCGGCCCGCGGCGGCTGGCCGAGGAACCCCGCGAGCCTCCCCTCCCCCGGGTCGCCCGCCCCTTCCCCTGCCGCGGGCGCAGTTCCGACGGCCCGGGGCGGGGACGGACGGCGCGGCCGGCCGCGCACACCCCTCCCGCGGCCCGGAGTAAACAGCCCGGCGCCGCACCCCTGCCCCGCCGGCGCCGCCGCCGCCCCCTACCTGGTCGGTGAGTTTGAGCACGGCCATTCTTCCGCCGCTCCCCGCATCCAGGGCAGCGGTCCGCAGATGTCACGCCGGGCGCCGGGGAAGCGGGAAGGGCTGTGGGGAACGGGGGGCGCGCTGGGGGGGTTGGGGGGTGGAGGGGGTCGGAATCTGGCTCCCGAATTTGACAGCCCTCCCCCTGCTCGGCCGCCGCCCGCCGAGAGGCTGCCACTGGCGAGCGGGGTGTGTGTGCAGCCCGGCCCGCCCGCCGCTCCACAGGAAGTACGGGCTGCTGCCAGCCCGGCCGCCACTGACATCACCGCCGCCGCCGGCCCGACGCTGCCTCCTGCCGCCCGCCGCCCGCTCTCCGCACCTGCACGCCGCCGCGCCGCCCACTAGCGAGCGCCCCCGGCCGGCCGGCCAGCCGGCCAGCCGGCGTGCCGGGTTCGAGGCGCCCCTCGGCCTCGCGCGCCTCGGCCCGGCCCGCACGCGCTCACCGCGAGCCCGAGCAGACACACCACACCCCGGGCGGGGGCCGAGAAAGGCTGCAGCTCAGACGCACCCCCTCCCCACCCCGTACACACACACACACACACACACACACACACACACACACACAGACCACCCCACAGATGGTACCTGGGCCCCAGGGTGGCACCCACTGCATCCCCCCTGTACCCCAGGTCCAAATCAGATAACCCCCAGCGCTCCAGATTTCCCCCAGCTTGCTCAAGGGCCGTAATTCGGATGCTCTTTGTTTAATCAGAAATGGTGGGGGGCGGGAGATGGTGTGGATTTGCTGGGATTTTTTTTTTCTTTAGTGAGAGATACTTGGGGTGGTTCGGGGGAACTCTGGCCCTGTTACCTAACAACCAGTCTCTCTCTCTCTCTCTCTCTCTCTCTCTCTCTCTCTCTCTCTCACAGAGCCCACCTCACAGATGGTACCTGGGCTCCAGGGTGGCACCCACTGCATCCCCCCTGTACCCCAGGTCCAAATCAGATAACCCCCAGCGCTCCAGATTTCCCCCAGCTTGCTCAAGGGCCGTAATTCAGATGCTCTTTGTTTAATCAGAAATGGGGGGGGGGGGGGGACGGTGTGAATTTGCTGGGATTTTTTTTCTTTACTGAGATATACTTGGGGTGGTTGGGGGTAACTCTGGCCCTGTTACCTAACAGCCAGTCTCTCACACACACAAGCGGCCACTACCACCATGGTTAAATTTAAACACCCTGGCTTTTGTTTTTTCTTTTGTTGGGTTTTATGTTTTGTAGGGCTGGAGCGATAGCACAGCGGGTAGGGCGTTCGCCTTACAAGCGGCCAACATGGCCGACCCGAGTTCGATTCCTCTGCCCCTCTCGGAGAGCCCGGCAAGCTACCGAGAGTATTCGATATGCCAGACACAGTAACAACAAAGTCTCCAATGGAGATGTTACTGGGCCCGCTGGAGCAAATCGACGATCAACGGGAGGGCCTTTACCTTACCTTTACCTTGGTATTATTTTTTTGGTAGGGGGAGGGTGTAAAAATGGACTGGAATTGGGGAGATGATAAAGATGATAAAGGCTGAGAAGGAAAATAAAATGTTAACGGGTTTTCTTAGGGTTTTTTTTTCCATCTAACTTATTCACTCATTTTTTTTCAAAATCTATCTACCATACTTTTAACAGAGAGGAGAGAGGCCAGATATTATAAGTGATGAAGTCACTGCCTTGCATGCAGCAGACCCCAGTTTTGCTTACTGCCTAGCACTGCGTGTGGTCCCTAAGCGCAGAGCCAGGAACGATTCTTGAACTGAGACAAGAACAACCCCAGAGTTTTCGGGTGTGGTCCCTTCCCCTAGAAAATAAATAAACAGCATGGGATACAAATACAGTTGTAATAGTCATGATCAAAGTCAATTGATATTTTCAGAAATTGCAGCAAATACCTGATAACTGTGTACCGAGGACTTACCAGATACTGTCTAAATATAGTATTAAAGGGGTGAGGGACATAAAAAAAAAGGTAAGATCTATGGGGGTGCCCAGCATAAGCTACATCATCACCAGTAATGAATGTAATTGCAAGCAGAGATAAGAGATCAAAGGCATAAGGGGAGGAGTGTGCTTCTGATGGGATTCAGTAAAAAGGAATTGGACCAGACAGGTAAGTGAGAAAGTGAGAAGAGTTGAGATTGCAGGAAGGAAAGTAGGAAAGTGGAAGGGAGAGCACCCCTGGGCAGCCTGGGGTACCCTGCAGTGCCCTGTGAAGCACAATGAAGAGCAAAGCGGAGCTAGAGTCGAGGTCAAGAGTAAACACCTTCCCTTGGTCCACAAACTTGGCTTTCAAAGAACCCGGCAGATTTCATGTGATAAAGATTCCCCTGAGTGGCCCTAGGACTGCTGGGCAGACTTCATAAAGTCTAGGTGTGCTAACTGAACCATTAAAATTAAAAGTCAACCTTCTCACCCGGTTTCCACACTCCCACTAATCACATAGACAGAGCCCTTTAGCCAGTTCCCTTGAAGAAGAATCTGGCAATGTGGCCCTGGAGTCTACTAATCTCCATCTAAGCGCGACCCCCCAAAATAGCTGTCACTTACTAGTTCACCATACACTGGGGAGAGAGAAATACCCAATATTTCAGGGATTACTAGATAGTTTTCCTGAATTAATGCTAATTTCTGAAGAGCCAGACCATGGCCAACTTGTGGTAGTCAGGTGGTAAATGGTCTTTTCACTTACATGTATTTTGCCACGGGTCCACAAGACTTGCCAAATCCACTCTGAGGTTATTGTCTCAGTTCTTGAATGTCAAAAAGTCATTTGCCCCAACTGGCAGAATTTTCAAGGCTCTTCCCTGAACCACAGTGTCACAATTATTGTGGTAGAAAAGACAAGGTATAAGCCTTTGGAATCCTCTTGCTCTCAGTATAGAATTAAAAAAGCAATACGTGGGGCTGGAAAGAGAGCACAGTGGGTAGGGCGTTTGCCTTGCATGCAGCCGACCCGGGTTCCATTCCCAGAATCCCACATGGCCCCCTGAGCACCGCCAGGAGTAACTCCTGAGTGCAGAGCCAGGAGTAACCCCTGTGCATAGCCAAGTGCGACCCAGAAAGCAAAAAAATAAATAAATAAATAAATAAAAAATAAATAAATAAATAAAGCAATACATGGTCCATGAAGAGATGAAGAAATCGGAACCAACATAAAAGACATAGATGAGGCAGGAGCAGTAACCACATTCCCATTTAACCATCTGTTTGAATTGAGCAAGGCAGGTGGATCTTAGAGAATAATTATGAATTGTAAACTTAATCAAATGGTGAACCAGCTACGACAACGATTCTATCTGTACTTTCCTTCTTGCAGCAAATAAGTACAGTCTCAGGCTCCTGGTCTGCATCTAGTGATGTGGCATACACCTTTTTCCATTTGAACCAAAAATTGTTTTATATGTGGTTGGAAAAATGAAGACAGGATGCAGATTTCTACTCTACTACAATCAAGAGTTAATGATTGCTATATTTAAAACATCAAGCTCAGAGATGCAAAACAGTATAATAGAAATTGACATCTGTGATTATATGTTCATTGCAGCACTGTTCACAATAGCCAAAATTTGGGGGAAAAAAACCCGGGTGCCCGAGAACAGATGACTGGTTAAAGAAACTTTGGTACATCTACACAGTGGAATACTATGCAGCTGTTAGAAAAGATGAAGTCATGAAATTTTCATATAAGTGGGTCAACATGGAAAGAATCATGTTAAGTGAAATGAGTCAAAAAGAGAGGGACAGACATAGAAAGATTGCACTCATTTGTGGAATATAAAATAACAGAATGGGAAACTAACACTCAAGAATAGTAGAGATAAGTACCAGGAAGATTACTCCACAGCTTAGAAGTCAGCCTCACATGATGGGGGAAAAGGCAGCTCAGATAGAGAAGGAACCACCAAGTAAGGGTGCTATGGGGCCCACTCAGGAAGGAAGATGCGAGCTGAAAGTAGACTATAGACTGAACATGATGGCCACTTAATACCTCTGTTGCAAACCGCAATGCTCAAAGAGAGAGAAAGAGAGAGAGAGAGAGAGAGAGAGAGAGAGAGAGAGAGAGCTAAAGGGAATGCCCTGCCACAGAGCCGGGGTAGGGTGGAGGGAACGGGGTGGGGGTGGTGGGAAGGATGCTGGGACCATTGGTGGTGGAAAATGGGCACTGGTGGAGGGATGGGTACTCTATCATTGTATGACTGAAATGCAAGCAGTTTGTAAGTCTGTAACTGTACCTCACAGTAACTCACTAATAAAAAAATTTTTTTAATTTAATTAAAAAATAAATAAAAACATCAAATTCATTGGACTGAATCAAAAAATATGAAATATGTCATATGTCTTAATGAGACACATGCAAACTAGAGAAGGTAAAATAAAGAATCCCCAAGAAAAGTCACTGCTGTAGTGCTGTTTCTGGCAGTTCAGTGGTCTGGAATACTTCCTCCAAAGTGAAAAACATGAGTGCATGCAGATTCACCTTGTACCACTCACAACAAACAGTAAGGCACAATATTGGGGGGGAATCTTTGGATTTGGGGGGTCACACCCAGCAATGCACAGTGATTACTCCTCACTCGGCACTCAGACCCCTCATGGTGTTCAGGAGACTATATGGGATGCTGGGAATCGAACCCAGGTCAGCCGCATGCGAGGCAAATGCCCTACCCGCTGTGCTATTGCTCCAGCCCCAGAATCTTTGGATTTTAAAAAGAGTGAGTGTTATGCTCTGGCCCATTTAGGTAGCCATAATGCTGGCTTTTTCTGTAAGGCATATAAAAAGACTGAAGCAGAACCTTATCACCCAGGGAAATCCAACAACACTTGAAAAGCAGTGACAAATTCTAGTAGAAGACAATGCTTCCTTCATTTTATGGCAAAGGAAATTTCTCTTCCAGAGATAACAAGTCTCCATTCGAGTAAGTGGCTGAGATATTTAATGCAATCTCAGCTGCCCGTTATGAGCTGAATGTCATAAGATCCTCCAAACCATAATCTGAGCTTACACAAGAGCAGTCCTATATCAAATAGAAATAGGATGCAATAAAAGTGAGTTTGAGCAGATCCAAAAACATGGTTTTTC